TCTGTCTCATGGTGTGTAAGGCGGATGAACCTGGCACTTATTAAACTTTTTGAAATTTTCTGCTCTAACCATCGTTAAATTGAACTTGCAGCCAAAATTAATATCCAAGTGCCCTTATATTTCGTTAATAAACATTTTTTTAAAAGTTTTACTATACCAATTTAATTCGAGGATAATTTTACTCCTACATAATTTCTCAGCACTGTTGCATTCCATACTCTCTAAAGTATCGTGAGCTTGCATCAGGTTCCGCTTATGCAAGGTCCCAAAAAGCTTTTGAGCCATAGTCAGAATCATCTTAACGGGACAGCATAATGTTTTCAACTGAGCCAGCCACTACTCTGGATGCCAAACAATTGCCTCTCAGCACGCATCTCGTAATGAGTTCCACATCATCGTCCGCCATTTGTCTCCTCTTATATTCCTGTAATATATAAGTTGGCTATACTTGTGTCTACGTCCCAAGAAAATTCTTCAAACGACTTTTGTTTAAATCGTATATATAAGGCTACACACATTGCACATAGCAAATGAGCCTTTAAAGCCTAACCTAGTTTAATTCAAAGTCACATATCTTTATTGTGCATGAGATTCCCATTATGTCAATGCTACTTAGGCAAGCTGAGTCGATTATCATGTTCTAGGCTCGTCTTGCTCTTCTATCGTTCTGATTTTTTTTAGCTCTTTCCCTAAAACGCATCCACTCAAGTGGCTCTGTACTCATTTCTTTGTCTAGAAAGCTTTAAAACCCCATTCTTCTAACTTATTTTTTTAATAGTACCCAGGACAGGTCATAAATATAGAATTGATACATCCGTTCATTAGATTATTTAATAGTCATTTTATTAAATTAAACCAACTGTGTTAACATTTTTTGTATTTTTTGATCCCTCATTTATTCAGATAAAGAAAAGATCAACGTTTATTAATTAATAATAAATGTGTTCTTTCTACTACACAAAAAAGAAGTTAAAATATCAAGCAGACTTTTAATATTTCGAAGTTTATTTTCAATCACTTGTTGCTTTAACCCTATAAAATTTTTGTCTTCTTCTGGATTATCAGGCCTTTCATTTATAAATCAGTTGAGTCAAGCTGTTTCTCTATTAGTTGCTTGAATTAAATGACAGCTAGTCACTAGACATATGCGCAAAAATAGCTGTAATACTTGAGTTACTTTATTGTTTCTTTTTGAAATAAAGAATATCACTATAGTTCTGCCCAATAGCTAAACCCATTTCAGTTGCGATCCCTGTCTTTATTGAATCTCATAGTTTGCTTTCATTCGTCGAATTTATTTAGTCTTAGATTAATCAAAATTACTTTGTTAAATTAAACAGCATTTCCTGCAGTTTAAACGGCAAAATTAAAATAACTCTTTAAAATCTAAAGTATTGAATGATAAAATTGTAATTGTTTAAAGGACATATAGTGAACACCTTTTATAGTTGCTCTTAAATTACGTTATTATAGTGGTACCGATTCTAGAGGAGCACATTTTTCCTATAAATTAGCATAAAGAACTATTTGGTCATATTTACGATTTTCTTGTTAGTTTGTAAGAAAGATTAATCCCTCTGATGCCCATTTGGTGTATACATATTCTGCTAAATCATTTTCTATTGATGTGACTCAGGTCCTGCAGACTATTATTTGAGAATGCAATTTGGCTCTGCATAGTTGATTATGCATATTAATAATAAAATGCAGAAGAGTTATTCTAATTTACGCATCAGAATTGCTTAAAATCACGTATCCATTTGCACAATGATTTAGTTTATATGATGACTTTTGAATATATTGAGATATAATA